GGCCCCCCCCCCTGTCCCATACTTTCCCCCCCCCAAATTTCAAAGTCCTTCTTTAAACCAAGGAGGTACCAAACTTTAAAAAAAAAAAAAAAAAAAAGTTACTGAAGAATTTTTTATAATGGTGTTAGGCAACCTTAGCACGGGGGTTGCTACCTGTACTGTACTGAGAATTGCAACACCAGTTAAACCACAAGGAAAGAGGAGGAATTATAAAATTCAGAAAGATGTCACTGTTTACCCTAAAATATTGAAAGTGCCCTGAAAGACCCTGATCCACAGAAAAAGGTTTGTTCATAGTGTGCCAGCCATTTCGTTTAACGGAAAATGTAACTTCTACTGGCAATGTTACATTTTTTATATTCCAAATGCATTGAAAAGGAAAAGAAGGAAAATGTTGGGGGAAAGGAAGGTTCGTTCTGAGGTCCCCATTTGAGACTAATACAACAATAACTTTCACACAAACAACAGATTTTCAAATAAAAAAAAGTTAAATTTTTTTAAACAAAAGATTAGGACAAACTAGGAATAAAACAGTGGGAGCCACAGAATTTTCCTTGCTGTTACTTGCGTTGTAAACAATTTCCTAATGTGCATATTTGATGATCTTATCCCTTACCCAATGGCATAAAGAGTTTGAATAGGCTTCTTCCAGTGTCTTTGTGCTGCCTGCATCCTAATCAGGTACTCTGCATAGTGATAGGTCAGTTCACTGGGTTTGCCCATCAAGGCCTCATATTTCAGTTCTTTGCCAGTGATCTTCTTGTAAATATTTTCCAAACAAACCATGAATGTTCCATGCCCAAATCTAGAAAAGAGATGATTACAAATCAAATTGCATTAAGTATACAAAGAAAAAAAATAGAGTTTCAATTTCATGGACTTTTGGTGATACTAAAACAATAAACCTATACTGTTAATTCCTAGACACTGGTACCACTTGCAGATTTCAGCACTGCTTTAAAGCCAGTTGGATGCTATGGAACACTGCATTAACTCACTGGGAAGCATTTGGGGTAGGGTGAGGAGAGCAGCAACCTCATGTGGTGTTTGGGGGGAAGAAGAGAAATGGCTCGGGGCTGAAAATGGAGTTTTCACTTAAGAAAGCTAACTTTTACAACTGAAAAATTTGGTGCAAGTGCATTTTTGCAAACCCTGCAAGAACAGAATGTGGCACTTTGCCTGTTTTGCCAAAGGCGTGTTGCTTTTGCACAGCTCTGCTTGGGTCTTGATGGCTATGGTGACAACTACCTCAATGAAAAATTAGTATGAAACACTGTCTCTTCTTGAATTTTGACTACTCACTTTTATTAGCAACGTGGAGAAGCCCGGAATGGTGAAACTGTCTACATTACATGGTGTATGTGCTATAACTGCACCTACCTTGGAGACTGTGCTTCAGCCATCCACATCAGATCCATATTACAAGCAAGCACGGGTATATGTGGGTAACTGGCTTGATGATGTGGCTTTCCAGGACAGCCACCCGTCAGCAGAACATCTATTATCAGTTGAAGATTAGTCTCCCATCTGACTGGTTCGCCAAACAAAACAACAGCTGCAAGAACAAGAAAACATTTGTGAAATATTAAAAATGAAAGGTAGATATAATGCAATAACTTTCTAAGATTTAACAAACAGCATCACACCCACGTTAAAATTTGATAAGGAAGAAAAGGAAATATCCTAAATCAATTTGAACAAACTTCTAGATTTAAAAATTCAGTAAAGTGATCAAAGTGCAACATGGGGCAGAGACCATCTTTTTGTTCTGTGTTTGCACAGCCCCTAGCACAATGGGGACCTGGCCTATGAGTAGAACTCCAAGGCATTATGATAATACAAATAATAAATAATAAGATTATGATTTTGGTTCAATCTACCTTAAATTTCAAATCTCTTTCGTTACAGAAGGATTTCAGAAGTTGTTAAAACCTCATACTGTAATCCACAGGTTTTACAAGATGAATTAACTAAATTGCCCCATACAACTGAACAACACTGACACTTCTAATCACATTTATAATATTGTGACTGCCAAGAATTAACATACAGCACTGTACATAATAATCAGATCTACCAGGACTACCATCTGTTTGTCTCTAGACAAAATACAGTATGGATGTTTATATTCCTAGCTGATTTCCCCAATTGCTTGGAATAAGTCATGGGATAGATCCAGCTCATAATTTTTTTCTTTCATTCTCAAGCCCAGTTTCTTACTTCCCACATTTCAAACAGATGGAGGTGAGAAGAGGAAGGAATGCCTCTTGCCACAACTTTGCAAATGACTCTGCTGACCAGTGTAGGAGCAGGATTGATTGACTCTGATGGGATTCCAGTTCAGCCCTCCTTTCCAGAAACAAGGAAGCACAATCTGCTAGAGGAAGGCAAAAAGGAAAACAAGCCCCTTATCATCCTTCTAATCACCCCTAAGAGGCCCATGGATGAAAACTGCACATTCACACTGTGACATTCTGTGCCTTGGGAGAGCACCCTGTAACCCCCCCATATTCCTCATCTGTAAATAATTGTGATACTAAATATAAAGCATGCCTTGTAAGGTATCAGGGGAAAGATTATGACCTGTTGAAAGTCATTTCTCTATCCATATATGTATATCATTAATGCATGTGAAGTTATGAGAATTGTGTTGTATGGTAGTCACTAAAGGATGCTGTAAGTTGGGGAATCAGCCAGATATTAGCTCCCCAGAGTAGGGTGACCAGACGTCCCGATTTTATCGGGACTGTCCTAATATTTGCTTGTTGTTTGGTCGGGACACTGGACAAACAAACAATTTTGCCCTCCGCTCCGCTCTCGCCCCCCCTCCCCGACTCCGCCCCCTCCTTCCTCCATTGGATCCCTCCCCAAATCCCCGCCCCCCAGCCCTGCCCCCTCACTGCCCCATTGGATCCCGAGCCGGGCCCGGGGAGGAGATGCCCCTGTGCAGCAGCCTGGGCACACGGGCCATGGCCGGCCAGGGCTGGGAGCGCTGCAGTGCAGCGCAAAGGCTGCTCCAGCCCTGCAGCCCACGGGGCAGCGCGGTGGGTCTGGGGGCAGCGCAGAGTGGGCAGGGCCCGGGTGGGCGGCGCGGCCCGGGAGCGTGGGCCGCCCGCTGGAGATACGCGGCGGAGAGGGGCTGCGGGGGCGAGACTTGTCCCAGGCGGGGCTGCCGGCGGACAGGGGCAAGGAGCCGGCCGGGGTCCCCCGAACCGATAAACTTCCCCGCCACTGCCGGGAAGCCCCGCGCCTCTCCCGCTCGGGTGCGCTCCAGTGGCTCGCCCCGCCGGAAGGAGCCGCTGGAGCGCAGCTGAGCGGGAGAGGTGCGGGGCTTCCCGCCGGCGGTGGCATGCGCCACATGTGCCCGGGGTGGGGCAGGAGGCTCCACGGGGAAGGCAGCACGCGCGGCTGGGACGCTGTGTGCAATCCTGCAGCGTGGCTGGGGCCTGCAATTCCCCCGAACCCTGCGAAACTGCTTTTTTTTTTTTTTTTGCTCTGCCTCCACCCGCGGCCCGATATTTCATGCCTGTGATCTAGTCACCCTACCCCAGAGGCAACATCAAGGAAAGTAACCAACACCCAGGCGGGGTGTCAAACAACCCATCAACAACCACTGTCCAGCTAGGGAGCTACAATTCAATGACTCGCCTGCATGAGGCCACCCCAGGGGAATTGCTCAACCTTGCCTGGAGCGTCAGCAATACCTCCAGACATACCTGGACTCCTGATCCCATAGGTGCTGACTCTGTGGGTGCTCCGGGGCTGGAGCACCCACGAGGAAAAATTAGCGGGTGCTTGGCACCCACCGGCAGCCAAGCTCCCCCACCCCAGCCTCGCCTCCTCCCCTCCGCCCCCAAGTGTGCCACATCCCCGCTCCTCCCCATCCCTCCCAGCGCTTCCCTCTTCTCTCCCACCCCCGCCCCCCGCTGCCTAACAGCTGTTTGGTGGTTCTTAGGACTTTCCCGGAGGGAGGGGGAGGAGGCGGAGAAGGGGCGGGGACTTGGGAAAAGGGGGTAGTATGGGGGCAAGGCGAGGGCAGGGACTTGGGGGAAGAGGGCTGGGGACTTTGTGGAAGGGGTTGACTGGGGGCTGGGAGGGTGGTGCAGGGGTGGGGCCAGAGGGTTGAGCACCCACCAGGCAGAGGGGAAGTCGGCACCTATGTCTGATCCCCAAGCACATAGGACTGAGGCAGGACACAGTGGTCCATGCTGGGCTTTTCTCCTTCACCCACCTATGCTGCAAGCAACAAGGACACTCTGAAGACTCCAACTGAGGCAACTGGGTTTCAAGGGTGAAATCTGTATGCTATGGACTGCAATATCCAGTAGGGTCAGAAAAACTACTTAATCTAGATGTTGCCCAGTTTAATAGGGTTGAGAGTTTAGACTGCGTGGTTATATTTCATTTTCTTTTGGTAACTAACTGACTTGACATATTGCTTAATATCACTTAAAAAAAAATACTATCTTTTGTAGTCAATAAACTTCTTTTACTGTTGATCTTTACCAGTGAGTTTGCCTGAATTGTGTGGCAAATGTGCTCAGGTTTGCAAAGGCTGGTGTATATCCACTTT